TTGGTGCTAATTCACCACATGCAAATTCCAGCTGTTTACTGTAGACCTACCACCAAGCATACACTTCTTCCCACAGCTCATCAGAAAGCCTCTTGCTGGTGAAAGTGGTTAATCCACAACATTTTTGTTGCTGAAGCCAAGACTCCAAATGGGGGGTTTAAGTTACTAATGACAAAAAACTTGCATTCTTTAACTAGAGAATACTGTAAGTGTTTCTCCATTTACAGAAAACCACCCTAGAAGTGGTTGCTGGCAGAAAAAATGGACCAGAATAGAAGAAGCTGTTACCAGGCAGGACAGAGATGCACAAAGCAAAGCAGCAGCAAACAACAGGCTAGGAAAAAATCCTGTTATCTGGCAGCACAGGACAGCCAAAGTAAGCGACAAGTTCCTTAGTGCCCGCCAAGCACAAGCCTTGTGCTAAAATATCCTCCTGTGCCGTGGCCAACTTGCAGCCTCTGACCCCAGGCTGGAAACAAAGCTTGGCCTTACGCCTCACTGTGATGCCTCATGCCACCACATGACAGAAGACATGGCTCCTTTAATAACTAGGTTTGATGTTTTGTATTATTCCTGCCCCAGAAGCAATCTTCCAGCCAGCATTAGAGCTTTATGGTGCTGGATTCTCTGCAAACAATGCACTGCCGTGAGTTATTTGCAATTTATGGAAAACCAAATAGAAAACCTCTAGGGGAATAAAAGAGAAGAGTGAATTGAACAAGTGCAAAGTTGCTCCTTAGCCATACAAACCTAAATCTAATGTATTATCAGTAACACCTGACATAATCACAGACTCTTCTGTAACCTCATACATTTCATTTAAGACTCTGCATAGCATTGCATTTATAAACGAACAAGTATACTGAATAGTAAATGGTACATAAAGAGTGATTTCAGTTTTGATGTGAGCTTTTGAGAAGATCATAAAGCTCAAGGCATATCATTCTACAAATCATCTTTACAGTTACCAGACTATGGCTCTACTTAACCCTTCTCTAACAGAAATCACTAGAAGCACATCCCTCTGGCTGTGAAGAACAGGAAAAGCTACTGAAGGGACATATAACATGAAAAGATCTAACTCTCAAAAGAATCACAGCATCTGCTTTTGCTCCTGGTCTCAGCTCTTCCAAAAAGCACAGGGAAAAAGCATTATTCAGGTCAGTTTTAAAATTGCTCACATGGTTACAAACTGTAGCGAATAAAAATAGTGAAATGTGGGTCACTGCTGTGGTACTAGTTGGAAAAGGAAGAACATACCACCACAGCTACAGGTGCTGCTCTAGGAAAAAATTAGCTCCAAAACTGTCAGCAGAAAGTTTTTAGGAAAAGTGAAAAGTTGGTCTCTACAAACTACAGAAGCTGTGTGCAGTTTGCCCACATCTTTAAAGTCATTTGGTTGTATAAAAGGGCTTTCTCTATCTGCAAGAATAATGAGCATGCATTAAACAACAGAGAATGTCTGCTAGCACCTCCATCCTCTAGCACCCACCCCAGCACCATATCTGGCCACAGGAATACACTGCATTGCATTAGCTTACACCTAACACACTTGCAGACTTTACTGACCAAAGCCTGGCCAAAGTCAGGAACATACAAGACCTTTCCACACCAAAATCACCTTTTCGATAGGCAAACAAAACACTTCTTTTTCAGATGCCCTTCTCATTCTAGCAACAGATAGATACAGATTTAACAAGACAATTGTATCTCACTACACTTCACCTTCGTACAGAAAATTTCTTATTTTTTGTTTCTTTACCCTGATAAACATTCACTAATCTATAGTAAATGGGTCTCCAGAAGAGAGTGGTTGATGGATCTCAAAAGTTTCACAGATACCTGGAGGTGTGTAAGAGCCCCATCCACAGAAGAAGCCACCAAACACGACACTAAGAATACAAACCCAAACCACAATGAAATCTCATGACTTTTCAGAGACCTGATTCACTGCTGAAGTACAGGGCTGGTAGTAATGGATCTCATGGCTCTGAAGAGCTCATGCCAGATGCTGGAGTTAACTCCTGCTAATTGGTTTTTGAAGAATATTTGCATTGTCACCTCAGAATTCTTGGGTCAGATGGCTTGGGGGACAAATACAACCCATCTATGAAAGACAAAAGACACCTTTCCAAGTTATTTTATGCAGTTGCTCAATCAATCAATCAATCAATTCTACACACTTAACTCCTCTTCAGATCAAACTTTACTGCACCTCTTGCATTTTATACTCCATAAACCACTCCTGCAGAGCACCCTCCTCTGTCCAATTAAGATTGTGCTTTCAAGTCCCTGTTTAAAACTTGCTGTGCTCCCGTTTTCTCCCCTGCCGTGTCAGCAGCTAGGTTGACCACAGATGGAGCACATTTGGCAGCTGAAATGACCCAGATGCTGAATCTGGAGCCATCTTCCCAGCTGCAGTCGCTGGGCTTACGTCCGATGCCTCAGCTGTTGGCTGTCAAGCTGCCCTCGCTCTGTGCCAAGCGTACATCCCAAAGCTTCGACCAAAGTGTGGCAAATGCTCTAAATCTGAGGTCTGCTGAAAGAAAGGATAATAAAGACTAAAGGTTTTAAAAGTAGGTAGTGAGGGAAACCAAACACCCTTCCCTCCTTTCTCTTCTATCCCTCCTTTTTTTCTACAATCTCTTTTCCACTAATGATGAAAATACAAGAAGAGCTGAGTGGTGACAGCAGGTCTAATGTACTGCATGCTAGTCTGAGGTACTGACCAGCAGGAGATTCCCCTTCATCAACACTGTGCCATGGAAGGTGAACCTCTGCTTCAGGTCACAGCCACAGCAAAGGATGGGAAATAATCTTTACTGAGGAAAAGGAGGTAACAGACAATTCTTTTATTTCGTTACATATTCTTTAAGCTCTCTAGAAATCTTAAAGCTATCAAAGCTGTAGAAATTCTTGTAAAATTTAGGAGTGACTACTTAATATCCTACTTCTGGCTAATTTCCTAATTTTTCTCCTTTGAAAGAGACTTTTACATTCTCCATGCCTCTCCATTGAGGAGCAAAAGAAAAGGCTTACCTTGTTTCAGTGACTGCAATCATTCAATTACCACTCTGCCTTCTGATCTAGATTTAAGAGGGAGCATTTTAAGTTTTCACCTTTTACCTCATCTCTACTCATCCTGGCACAGCATTCCACATGCTGAAAAAATAAACTGCCCCCATCCACCATTAAAGTATGTCCACAGGGCCTATTCTGCTAAAAAACAAAGAAGTCTCTTCTCAAATAGCAAGTCCAGCTCACAAATGCCTCTTTTTCAGATTTCTTCTATTTATTACATGTACACATACTGTTCCTGTTAGGCCTCCTGAAAGGAAAACATTGTTTTAGAGAAAATTTATTTTTCTAAAATATCATATTTACTAGTGAAAAATATTTTGCCCATTTAACATTAAATAGCCTATGCCTTGCTATAAACCTTCCCCTTTCCAAATTAGAGATCATCATCCAAGTAAAGGGAGCACTAGAAAGTTACTTCTACCTAAATGTTTTTTGTACAAAACAAATAGCATTTTTTAAGACACAGGAGTCATATATATTCCCATTTTCAATTACTACTGAAAACTGTACTACTGAAGCTAACTTCACCCTGCAGTATTTAAAAGCCACTCAACTGAGCTACTGGCAATAAGAATCTTCAGTGAAAGTGACTTCATATGTAAGAAGTGGAGTGTATTTCAGTAAAACCAAGTCAGTTTAACACTATATTAGTAAAAGAAAGAGACTGTTTATAGCACTGTTTCTTTCCTTTAACACTTTTTTCCCAGGCAAGTGGCTCAAAATTAGATGATACGTAATTAAGGACCAGGATCCAATAAACCAAACATTTTAATCTCTACTCAGAGATTTCTTATGTGATCATGTGCCAGGAATTAACCTCTGTCAGCCTCAGTTTCTTTATATGCAATCTGAATTAAATGATGGAGGAGGGAGGAAGAGGCAACTTGGCATTAAATAATTATTCATAATTCCTGTAACTAAAATATATATATATATATGTAAGGACTAAGTACAGAAAGTAAAGGAACACTACTACTAAGTTGAACTGGAACACCAGTTCTCATGCCCACCTGTTCTGAATACTTGGAGAAAAGACATGATTTGATGCACTCCCACCATGGACAAATTCAGCTCTGCTAAGCCCCAAGGAAATGAAGTTCCAAAACAGGAAGTGCCTCACACAGACAGACACACTTTTTACATAGCACAAGATCCCAACTACAATCCTGTAGATACTCAACTACAGTAGTAGGGTATTGTGTAAAAGTGACACTTTAAATACAACCAATTTACAGCACTCTAGAAACATTCAGAAGCCTTCACCAGCATCCTAACTTATGCCCCTGAGAACAGAAATCACCTGGAAATCTTCATTATGTTTCTACAGCACATAGAAAAAGTAGGCCTTCAACCACTGTTAGAAAATGCTAGAAAACCCCAATGCAAATCATGAACTCTGCTTTCAAATGCTTTATTGGGAACCTTCTGTTCGGGGAGCAGCCTGCCATTGTGGGATTCTTTATTTATTTTTAAATATGTCCTTCAAAACATTGTTCAAGGCACTGTAATTTACATCTACAGATTAGTGGTACACTTAAGAAAAATCCTAACAAAACGACTCACCGCCTTTCCAGGCTGCATTTGCCAGCATGGGAAGAGACTGCCACCCTGTGGGCTCCATCCAAGACACAACTGCAACCCCTCACACTCAACAGAGAATTGTTGAAAATTTTATTTTTAAGAAAGTGAGGTTATTTTTATGATTTTCCCCATCAACGTTTCAAATACATAAATTCACTTGTCATTCTGTACTGCACCTGAGAAAAATCAGCATTTCATGAAGGCACTGTACATAGAAAGCTTCTTGGAATTACAAGAAAAAAACAATCTACCAAATCAAGCTTTGACCACAGTTAACTAGTGCAATCACTCAGTTCACAAGTGGCTTACATTCTAAATGCAGCTTGTGCCACCCTTGGGAAGGTTTAAACACCTGTATTATGGCAATGCTGAAGAGCATATACAGATACTTAAACACCTTTTGAGGTCTGGAGTTCATTTGTATTTGTAAAATCCTTCTCCAGTCTTTTTCCCCAGCTTCTTTTCTTCTACTAGTTTATTCAGGAGTGGGCTGGGTGCAAAAAGAGGATTGTTGGGCTCTAATGAATGCCATCCTGGAAAGGAAGGGAAGTGGATGAATTAGTAACAGTTCTGTTTATATGCAAAGATAACAGAGATCTGCATCTCCTTAGAAAAATATTTGAAGGTCAGAAAACTGAAGGACTGGAACTTATTCTAGGTTCTCTAAGACCCTGTAGTACAGCTTCATAAAGCCCAGATCAGTATTTATGATTATGCACAAAACTAACAATTAGTCTTCAGGCTCAGTGTACTCCAAACACCTTATAATCACCACCACCAAGGATTTTTTAAAACAATTAAGGAGAACTTTTGAAACATATTTAAGTACAAGGAAATAAAATAAAGGCTTTGCTGAAAAGAAATTCAAGTGCAAAGAAATTCAAAGATGAATTTCTACCTGTGAAACACATGGTCACTTAGAACAATATAACCCTACTCCACAGTACTGACTAAAAGCAAAAGAGGTTCTGCTGAAAATGCCATCAAAGTGACATTCTGCCTCAGAGAATGCTTAAGCTGCTCATTCAGAAGAACACAACAGCCCTCAACAAGCCATCACCAATTATCTATGTTTTTGTTACTATATTAACATTCACCCACTTTCTAACTGAAGTGACAGGGAGATGGCTCACTTACGTCTTTTGAGATATTTACTGGGTTTCCTATTAATTAAGAATGAAACTATGGCTGGTAGAAAAAGGATAGGGAGTCTCAACATTTGTTGCTTTTCATAGAATTCCTCACCTCCAGTACATATCACTCTTCCCACTGATTCTTTTTAGTTATATAAAGTACAAATATTAATGTTAATATTATTATTATTATTATTTTCCAATAGCACTTGATGAAGTCAGCAAAGCCACCACCGTTCTGTCCCCACGTACAAAAGGTACAGGCTGGCAGTACAAATGCTGTACTCACACAGCATTCTAAGCTGAATCCTATCTCCTTTCTCCTCAACAGTTCAAAGGCTATACCATAAATGTTCAGTTTAAATAATTAAGAGTCACATTTGCATTAGAACATCTACAATTTAGCTAAAAAGTGGAAAAGCAGAAAAAAAGAAGCATGCAGTACCATCTATAATGTATTTACTGGTATCCAACCCAACATAGTCCAGCAGTTCAAATGGACCCATGGGATAGCCAGCCCCAAGCTTCATAGCAACATCAATATCTTCCTTTGATGCATCTCCTAGAGAAAAGATTGACAGTTTGATGAACTGAGAAGATTCCGCATCTCCTTGGCACCACTTATAAATAATTAACAGGGTGTTATTTCACCCTGGTGCAGCTCTTCACAGAAATCTCTGCATGTTTCACAGCCACAAAAACTGGAGTCAGCATACACATGCTGGAGCATAAAGCTGAACCTCTCACAAAAAAAAGGAAAAAAAAAAGCAAGCCCTACAGGCCTGTTTTCCATTTTCCTGGTTTCCTCTCGCATTTCAACACAGAGCACTGCACTACTGGTGGAGCCGCAGCTACCATGCTGACCCTATCAGAACGACTAAAGGAAGAACTGGTCATTATGAAGACACAAGAACTTCTTTTAGAGGCAGCAGAACAGGGTAAGTAAGGAAACAACTCAATTTCAGCTTCATGAGGTCAGCAGCAGCTTTTGAATGATGCACAGGACAGCGCTACCCTTACACTACATCTGCCAGAGCACAAGTGATATCCAGCAGGCATGGAGAGAGGAGCAGGAGCAGCTGAGTAACATGCTTAGCTACAACACCTATCACCAGAGGGTATCTGTTGGGATCTGAAACCTGAAATGACTGTGGAGGCACAGTAAAATTCATGAATTCCAAAATTATTTAAAAAGAAATAATCAAAATTATCAGAAATTCGTTACTTCAGTCTATAAAAACACAAATCCTGCTCTGCCACATTGTCACAGTTAACTTTATCCTCATTCTTTAGCTGGGAATACATATTTCAGACTGTCATCAAAGCAGATGCACCTCTACTCCATACCTTTAACTCATATTTTGAGAAAGCCAGTGCATTTTCTCTGCAGAAGCTATAAAAAGGATGAAGTTATACAAGCCCCAGAGGTACTTGTTAAGTAACCTCCGTGCACGATGCGTACAGGCATTCACGGTGTCCAGCAGCTTGGCAGACACAGCCTGTGCAATTTATACACCTAAGATCAGAGAACCTTAGAAATAAATTTACAAAATCTCTTGTAAAGGCAACAACTTCAGTGGCAGTTCTGTATGAAGTAATAATTTATATATACCTCCTTTTACTCTCTAAAGCTGACAAAGTTTTTTTTTAAGTCACATTTTATTTCTGAGAAGCTGCAGAGAGTAGCCTTACCTAATTCCAATGTAATTTCAGTTCCCCAAATTCAAACACAGCTAAATCCTCAGCTCACTTGCAGTTGATGCAGGTATACAGACTTGTTCTCTCAACAGATTTGTCCCACTTTGTCAAACTTGGGACTTGGCCACCCGACAGTTTCATTACAATGCAATAAAAAATAGTAAAAGGGCAAACAAGGGCTATATCCCTAGTTCATTCTAGTCTCTCCTAGAATAAGGCAGGCTTCCATAGAAACTTAGCTGACTGCTTTTTAGTTTTTCCACTAAGGACAGAGCAGTACAGACCACTATACATTAATATTTAAAATATGCCCCATTTAAGTCATTGTTAATACACTAAAAGTATATTGCTTATGCAAAAGTGCACATTTAACAGAATAAGATTTTGTATAAATGAAATCTCAAGGACTAGACCAATAAAATGGCATTTCGGTGCTTGGGGTTACCAGGATAGAGACAAAATTTAATGTAGATGACAATCTGGCTCAAATGTCTACTCTGAGAATAAACACAAAAGAGGATTTATATCATTCACAAACACAAATGATAAAAACTTAACCTGATTCACTAGAACATAAGACTTAAAAGACAGCCATCAGCCTTCCCAATACATCGACTAGCTTTTTAAATAGATTTCATTAGAATTAAAAAGTCACAAATGAACTTTAGCAAGTTTGGAAACATCATATTGTGGGAGAAAATACAAAAAGAATAAAGATCAAATCAAAATATTGTTTTGCTTAGGCAAAAGCAGTCAGTTTTAACATACAAACTGTTTTCTTCTGCATTTAATTAGAAGTTTCTGTTGTCTCTGAAATATGCACAATGATACATGTCACTTAACAAAGGCACCTCTTTTAAACACACTGAAACACCCATACACTTTATTTAAAACTGTGCCTTTTTCTAAAAGAACAATGCCCCCTCGCATTCATGCCTTTGCCTTTCAAGTCACTAAATTTGCTCTTTTCTTCCTTTGAGATGTAATTAGGTACATCTGTTGATGGATAAACAAGTAGTGTTGTTTTATTACTTTATTTTTTTTTTTTTTGGAAATCAAACCATCTCTTCCATGTGCTTTAAAAGCGAATTTTAATATTTAAAGCATATTTGGTGGAATCCTGAAAATTGAGTGCTTTCATCTGTAAAAAAGCAGTGATTTCAAAAACAAAATGTTTCAAATGACATTCTTAGTAGCACAGAGCTACAAGCAGAGCACTTGAAATAAAAGCAATTATAGTCTGTAATTTCATCTTTATCCACTACATTCGTTATTGCTTCTTTTCAAAACAAGCTTCAATGCTTTGAAAAATTCAGTGGTTTTTTGGGGATTCATGGTTATTTTTACCTACATATTAATGTAAAAGAGACCAGCAGTGACACTGGAGATCCTGAAGGACCTATGTCTGAAAATCACCACAGAAGGGGAACAGGAAGTTTTATGTGGCAGTAGCTGAGCTCTAATCACTTCTGTGCCAGTACCATAGTGTGACACTGCTACACCACTGACCTCAAAACTGGTGATTTATCTCACAAGCCCCATATAAGTGAACTCAGGAGAACTTTACTAGTGGTCCCATTATGGGACTTTCAACCACTTTTATCAATGTCTCCAGCACAGAGAGAAGAAAGTTCCTGAACAGGTGTCGGGGATATTTTTACAATGGCACTACACTCACCTTGTCACCTCCAAGCCAGAAACATTTTCCACCACCAGGAATTTCACACACAAGTACCTTCCAACTCTGCATAACCTGACATTTCAAAGTGAAGGCAAGGCTAGCTATACATGCTGGCTCATATTTAACATTCTCTATCCACTTCCAGCCTTTAATGTCTGAAATTTTTGAGGGAATCCCAAGGCTTTTCTGAAGCAATGTAACTTTTAGCAGTGTTATATGTCAACATCCCTTGAAGTCAATATCCCACCAAGTACCTCTCTCAAAAAGTCGAACAGCTTCCATCATATATGGCACCAAGAGACGATTTACAATAAACCCTGGAGTATCCTATGAAAAATAAAATAAGTAAACACTCTTTACCAGAACTACACTCAGATGCTACAAGATAACTGAATGAAGACATTTATTGTATCATTACTTAAGCTACTCCCAAAACTGTATTTTTCATCTCATTTATCCACTCAGTATTAAGGCATAAAACATTATGAAATTCAGACAAGGAATGGCACAAACAGTCATCATGACTGAGAACAAGAAGACTACTACAAGCCAAAAGCAATTATCTCAAAACAATTTAATATTTTCTTTAGACTTTAGAATCATTAGATTTTCTTTATCAAAAGTCTAATGATACAATATCCTGAAGGTTAGGAGAAAATCAGTTCTTCCCTAACAGGTTTTTTTTCGTGTGTGTGCCCACTACTAGAAGCAGTAGTGGCTTCCTGACTAAATAGTCCGCTTCTTCTCCCACTGCTCACTGGTGATACATGCTATTGAGAGTTAGGATCATTTTAACAGCAAACATCAACACTAACAATGAAAAGGTAAGACACACGCTGTCAGAAGGTAACAATTGAATACAAAACTTCTTTTTCACAAGCATCAATCAAAAGCACAGTCAATCAGACACAAGAGAAAGAGTTTTGCAAATATAGTATTGTTTGGTATATTGTTACTGTTTCAGATATTTATTATTGGTTCCATTTTATCGAAATATTTAATCCAGAGACTCCCAAGCAATGTTTCCTCTATAAGCAAGAATTAGGAAAAAAAAAAAAATTTCAGGTGAGAATACTGCAATATTTTCTATCCAAGCTAATTTATGACAATTCATCCTATATTCTACACATTGCATAGTACTAAACTGTGACAGAAATAGAAAAAATGTCAACTGAGGTCACAGAACAATTTAGCCAGAATTTAGAGAACATAGCCGGAATTAAGAGTTCAGCATCCAGAAGCTGAATTAATTAATCCGGTAACTACCGGATTGCAGGCCCTTCTTTTTATGATCAGCTGTCTCCTGGGGGCTGTGAAACTCAAAGCAGTAGCTTGCATAAAGCTATCCAGACCACAGCTTAATGGATTCAGAAGAAGTGTGCTTTTGAAGTAGGGTGTTTCTCTAGAGAAAAAAACCCAAAGCTGAGAAGAAATTAAGATTAATACGCGTCTAGTTACTGCAGTGTTAAGAAAAACTTGCAGTGAGCACACACCATGGAGGATTCAGCCAACTGCCTCACAGTACAAGAGGCAGAAGCCTTGTGTCTGGCATGGCTAAAGATGAGCTCCTGCTTAAGCTCTCCTGTCTGTGCTTCTGCAGGACTTGAAAAAAGACTCTAACAGTAAGCCCTGATACCTGTGAGTTTTGCTGCTCTAGACAAGATGTCTAGAGTCACTGGACTTTGAAGAATTTGTGGCAAATGTGGGTGTTTGTCAAATTGCTTTTAATTATGAAGACAAAGTGGACAATAAGTAGAATGGAAATTCTTGAAGTGCTCATACATTTACTAAAACCTACCACCTTAAAATTAACAGTCTACAAGGACAGACCCTCTGAACACTATACTATCAAAACATACCCACCTTACAACTGACAGGACTCTTTCCTACTGCTTTACTGAAATCCACAAGTGATTCAAAAGTCTTCTGGCTGGTCATTGGAGTCTTGATAACCTGGGTACAGGGAGGACAGAGAGAGAGCATAAGCATACTTATGAGCAGAATCTCATTTCCCCTTTACAGCAATGTAATCCAGAACACTCTTCCAGAAATTCACAAAACGTTTTGCAAGACAACAGCTTTAGTGGATAGATATGTAACAGACACAAAACACTGTTTTACACATAGACACACCACTTTGCAATATTGTATTTCTTTAAGACACTTTCCCACTCAGCCACTGGATGGGAATTTTACCATGGATGGATGGTAAAAGGAACCATACTTTGAAAGCACACTTAAAAGATTATAGCACATCAAAACATAAAAAATTTAAAAACTACATGGTCTCTGTTGTCTTGGGAAAGACAAAGATATCACTCTAGAGAACCATTTAAACAGCCATAGTTCCTGATATAACAGGTTCTAACAGCTACTCCTCCTCCTCTCAGGTAATTTTAGAGAGTGATAAGGTTTCTCCTTGACCTCCTTTTCTCAAGCTAAACAATCCCACCTCCCTCAGCTGCTCCTCACGTGTGTTACTCTCTGGACTCTTCACCAGCTCCGTTTCTTTTCTCTGGACAAGCTCCAGCACTTCAATGTCTTTTTTGTAGGCCCAGAACTGGACACAGCATTCGAGCTGTGGCCTCACCAGTGCTGAGTACAGAGGGATAGTCATTGCCCTGCTCCTGCTGGCCACACTATTTTTGACACAAGGCAGGATGGCACTGGCCACTTGGGCACACTGGCTCATGTCCAGCAGCTATCAGCCAGCACACCCAGATCCTTTTCCTCTGGTCAGACTTCCAGCCCCTCTTCCCCAGCCTGTAGCGCTGGAAACATTGAAAAAAACGTGACTGACTTTGTTCCAAAACTAACAAGGCAATGTGATTTCATCTCCTGACATTTTCTATTGATTTCTACACTGGTATCAGTACTTCTTATGAATAAGCCTCCCTGCTTGAAATGATGGCTATAAACAGCACCTCTGCTGGCAGCTCAGTGGAGAAGCCAGGAGCCTTGAGACTGAAGGAGTTAACTCTGCCTCTCAAACCCGCCCCTCAACCGAGACTGCAGCACCCTCCAATCACTCGAGGTAGCAAATTCCACATCAGAACAGCTGCAAACTCAGATCTGCTCTGTCAATCTAACCAAAATCCCCACTGCAGACAATTGCACTGCTGGGCTGCAGTTGCTACTGTGATGGAACACGATGGTAACAGCCCTGTAAGGTGTGCTCATGAGACACTCACCTCCACGAGCTTCATCATAGGCACAGGATTGAAGAAATGGAGACCACCAAATCGGTCCTGCCTGGTGGTTGCGTTTGCCATCTTTGTGATTTGCAGGGATGAAGTGTTGCTTGCAAATATCGTATGCCTGGAAATAAGAAATATATAGACTGCATAAAGGACAATAGAAGACCAAGGCACTAACCATAAGTAGACATCCATTGGCTAACCATCCAAGAATTCTCAGAAATATCCCTGCAGTTTATCATGGTTCTTTTGCTGAGGTCTAAGTACAACAATGATTAAATAACCACTGCAAAAACCACGTGACTTTCTGATTCTTGAGGAATTATATTGAATACTTTTATTAGGTACTGGAGAAAAAGGACTGTGCAAGTAGATAATTTTATTTAACTGCCCAAATCCATTCAACATAATTCCTTCAGCAACCCTGGAAACCTAAGGGTATTTTTATTTGTTGTAAACACATTTACACATTTATTGGTAAATAAATGGTAAATATATTGGTAAATAAATCATATGCCATGTCAAAAATGCACTTTAGAGTCTTACAGAAAATTTGCAGTTTACTTTGATTTAAAATTATCAATGATAGACATAATGAGCAAACCTACCACCAGAGCAAAGATTTGATGGGGAAAAAAAAAAACCAGAGAAAATTTAAGACCTGTCATGAATAGGACACTGCAAAGGATACACAAAATGCCAAGAATTTTAAGGTATATGTGAAGTCTTTTTCCAGACATAAACCAGATTAACTAACTGCAATTCATAATGGTTTGAGGTTTTTGCTTTTTTGGGTTTTTCCTCCCAGAAATATCTCAAAAACTCAACAGCACTGCTATCACACCAAAAACTTACAGAAATGGCTTTTTCTTCAAATCAACAGAAACTAAATTAGAGATTAAAACCTACCTTTCATTTTGGGCTGCATCCTACTATCCCTTCAAAAAGTTATCCTACTGTACTCAGCAAATGTTTATCTACATTGATATTTTGCTAACATTGTACTAAGTTGTAACTAAGCTTTACAACAGAGCTTTCAGAAAAGTTATGTCCAAGTCATTGGGACATCCTATAGTGGCATTCAAGAAAATATTACAAGACAACAACACCCACTTTGTTTTCCATTTTTATTATGTTTTCTTTTTTGTTATAGTGAAGGAAATAAAAAATCCTGAAAATTCCTGTTTACTCTACTTACAAATATTCTTTTATTATCTCCCCAGCAAAAAGTGGCCTTAAACTGTTCTGAGGTGAGGTACTAAAAGAAGCATTCTGCATTTCATAGTTTTGACCTTGCAAGGTCAGTGCATACAAAAGTCACTCTCACCGAAAATTTGCCACTGTGTATAAAAATAAAAATATTCATGTAAAAAAGAAGCACATTGATTTGTGAAATGTAATCACTTCTAAGTTTATATCTGAGTTCACTTAAGATATTTTACCTCAGTAGCTCTTCTGTAGCCTCGCACAATAGAAAGCCTTGGAAGAAAGCATTGATTTTGCACTGTGAACGAGTGCATTTGAGTTACACTTTCTTCTCTGACCAACTTCAGTTGAGTTTAAAAAAGCATTTTCATGCCTCTCTGGCTTAGAATTACACAATCCTCGCTTCAGGTGACAGCAGAGTTGGGAGGTTTTGGGAAGCCAGTACTAGTGAATTCATAGAAATGGCTTTTCCAGCCCCACAGTGCTTTCTCTTGGTGCCATCTAGTGGCTCAGGGAAAGATGTCAAAAGCAGAGCCCAACACAAGAGAAACACTAATAAATATTTCTAATAAATCCAACTCTTACAGTCCAGCTGCCTTACAGAGCAAACACTGAAAAACACTTCTTTTTTTAACAGTTTTATAACACATTCATTCTAACACAGTCAACAGCTGAAAAACACTGGCCAGGTCCAAGCTGATTTTCCACATCTAAAGGTAAATCCTAGACCAAGGAATATTGATGGGCATTTCCTACATGCCAGAAAAATCCAAAAAGCAAGTACAGAAAAGTTCTTAAAGTGAATACCCAAAAGTTCTTCTGTCATATTCCTTATGACCCTGTTTAGAAAAGTGCTGCAGCATCTACAAAAATCCTAGCCTGACCTTTTTCAAAATGGAAATGCAAGACTGACTCCATTCAAGAAAAGGAAAAAGTGGGTAGCAATGCTGTGCTCTGCCTCAAAGATAATGTCCAAGTAACACAGGAATAAATAGCAAATATGGTGAGTATAATACTGAGAGGAATAGAACACACAATTCTTCCTTCTGAATTTTGCAAAGCTCCAAGAACACAAACCAGTACGTTCTCAGACTAATGGCACCCAAGAAACAGCATCCACTGTCTCACCAGATGAGAAATACCCTGAGTTTCCAAGGTGCTTTGAGGCTTATTACATTTGATTTGAACACTTAAGAGAAATTTGCTGCCCACTCACAAATACACCTTCTGTCAATAAAATAATAGCTTTCCCATCCCCTACATGTATCCACTGTCAGAGGAATTACAGTTGTTTTATAAGAAAAGGAAGAGGAATTAACTCAATTGTGCTATGCTTTTTCAATGTAATATTTGTTTTTTGCAGTTCACAGACTTATTTATTTTCCTTGGAGATGTCTTCACAGTGCAAAAATGGGAGATGAACAAGCACATACATATTGCAGCTGAGGAAATGCATGAGACATGAAATCTAACACAAATAAAAATGCAGGGTTTCACACACTTTGTATTTCATAGACAGAATTCATCATCTTGTCACAACAACTGTACTACATAGTCCCTCACATTTCCACCTGCTATCATCCACCCCTGTGGTAAGTTCTGAGATTTGAATGAAGCCAAGTCCTCCCTCCACAGCAACCTGTTCTTTCTGTAACCCACAGAAACCTGGCCTCTGCCTGTAACCCACACTTCAGAGGGCCATCAGTGCTCAGAGTCCCTCAGAAGCAAAGCTCCTCCTGAGACTCAAAGCTGTCTTTAAACAAATCCTGTCTTTTTGGACCAATTAACCACAAGTCTACCACCCCTACTGAGCTGACACAACAGTTAGTCCATACAATAGGTTTATAAATTTTGAACTGCTTGGTCTTAGAAAAGACTGCAGAATGTTTGCACTGACAGCAAGGTCTTTCAATTCCAACACAGTGCCATGTGGGATGAGGAAAGCCAACTGCTTCCTTCTAACACATGGATAAACACTCACTACAGGTTTCTGTCTTTCCCACACTAGGCATACAATCTGCAACTCTATACTCTCACAGTTACAAACTGCCTTTTGTATCCAAAGCTTTAATGTTAAAGACTTGACTTACTAAGGGTCACTCTTTTACTGGTTTTTCATTTAGACTTTCTACACTGCAACCCATTTTCTTTGTCATTCATTTCACTTTCCTTTATCCTACACATAAGATATCTGTATGTTTATAATAATTTTCAAACATCCTCTTAAAAAGGAAGGCTTCTTGTCTTAGCTGTTTTTCCCAACCCTGGAAAATCATCCCTTTTGCAATAGGCAGGAGCATATTTGAACAACTCCCAGTAATACCTTTTAACACTGTGATGTAAAATTTGATGTTTTACAGCACCTGTGCTGACAAACAGCTCAGTCTGACAAAAAAATAGCCTCAGATGTTCCAAACATACAAATTTTTAAGTGAGGCTTCATGTCCCCCTGCCCACATTTCCTCGCTGACTGGTTTTAGACAGTTTACTATTTAGTACACTCCAAGTTGCTCATTAAATACTTGGGCAACCAATGGTCTGTTTGCACAAAATAGGCACAATCCAACCATAACAAGGTACTCTTGTAAATGTGGAAGGCAGCTACTTACTTTTGTGTGTCAGGGTAATGGCAAGTTACCCTGTGCTCAGCACATGGCTGCTTGTGATCATTTACTGCTTTCAAAATGACCAGGTAATTTTAATTACTGACAGTATGAGAAAGCCTGAAAATCCCCCCAGGCTGAAGTCAACTAATGATAACACCTTTTCTCCCTTGACATGATATTCAAGGCACAGCTTGCCCAGCTGACAGGTTAGACAGTCTAGAATAGCTCTTAGCCAATACCCCCAGATTTTCCTGCACTAGTTAAAATCTCAACCTGCAAGCAATCAAGGTCTTGTGATCCTGACTCATCAATTACAAGGCTCAAATTTCTGAGGCTGCATGCTCACCTTATCAGCATTTTTGGGATTGGATAAAATTCAACAGTAGCTTCCAATAATTATCAAATATAGTTCAAAGACATTTCTGGGGACTGTAAGTAACCGAATGAGTGCTTACTAAAATATTATTTACTCTTTTACACCACATAATAATCAGCAATGGTCGTTTTCTACATCTTGTAATTCAAAGTAAAGTTAGTTCACTTAAGACATTATTGAGCTGACTGAGACGTCTTAAAACATGTTTATGTCAGGTGTGCTAGAAACAAATACTTTATCACCCCACTTCCATATTTAAGTATGGGAACACACCATTAACAGTAACCCATGTGTACTGAAACAAGTTAATTCTACTGTTCTGCATTTATAGCTGGATTTAGATTTGAACTTGCCAAGTATACGGGCAATCTTAATGACTAAATACACCTGGAACAACAAATGAAGCAATGCAACAAGCAAGTGAAGCAATGCAACACACCTGAAAATGTTTTTAACATATGCACCTGGCACAACTCTTCCACACCAACATGATAGTCTGGAGCTAGTCTAAGACAGCAAAACTCATTTTAAAATAAAACATCTAAGAAAATAGGAAACTAAATGTAAGTATAAAAACAGAAAACAAAATAGACTAAGTTTCAAAATGTAACAGGAAAAATACACATACTCTGGAGCAAACTTATCCAGTGTCTTGAACAGTTCATTTTTAACGTCCAGGTTCTCAACAATGGCTTCTATCACTAAATCCGTGCTGTGGACCACTGATGCTGCATCTGTGCTTGTTGTGAGGTTCTTCAAGGTCTTCTTAATGAACTCAACACCAGCCTGAAACATTTTCAAGCAGCTGTAATGTCTATTTACAGTAATTTAATTTACTTTTACATGAGAATCCCCTTATGCGCTCTGGTGTTTTTGACCCCCCCCCAAAATGCAGGCAGTCTGCCATATTTCCAAATTAATGAAAAAGTTCTAAGTGTGCAGAGGTACAATGCTCTCCACTGACAAGATCTTCCTAGCCAATCAAATCTGTTTGGAAGCAAATAGGAGGCCTTTAAACTCCTTCTTTTAGGAAGACCTTTTGCTGAAGTCCAACCTTTAGCACAAGAGTCTGAGTGATCACCTGGTTGGTCAATCACTAGCTATAGTTTTCAGTGAAAAAGTGAGGAAAAAATGTTTTCTCACTAGTAAATCTGTTTACATATTTTGTGAGGGCAGAAATCAGAAAGGAATGCAAGACTTTTAGCCAAGGGTAAATGGAGACATAGTACAAATAAAAAAAGGCCCTACATGGTAGAATATAATGTCATACAAAAAGTGCAAGTATCATGCGGACAGTTTGCTTTTTGATTAAAAGGCTCCCCCATAATTATGTATGTATGCTCGACTTATTCTGGCACTTCCAGACTCCTGCAAACAAGCCCTTTTCATTACCTTTGTCTGCATCCTTTTCTGGCAGTCATCAGTATCAGAATACATTGCATATGTTAATATGTATCAAAAGAAGAAATGCATTTTATGTGGAATTTAGAGAAACAAGCACAGCAACAAGTAACCCTTAGGATACAAAGTCAGACCCATCAAATGCTCCACAGTGGCCTGCTGTACCCAAGCCTTACTCAGCAATCCCAGTGCAAAGTCATACATGCGTCACTTGCACTCATTTCCTTTGCAGTAATCCTGTGCCCAAGTGTTAGGAGGAAAAAAAAATTAAAAAAATAAAAGACTCCTTACTCAGGTATTAAGATAATTTTGTTACTATTTGCTTTTGGACAAAATGGGTGCATTTTCAAGTAAGCACTCAAAGGCTGCTTGCTTTTAAGTTATGATGAATAATTTGACTCCATTTCACACTTAACATCTGTTTTAAAAGACTGCCAAGTTGGTTTAAATCTTTAAATTTTTAAAACTGAAGTTTATTAAGGAAAGAAAATGAGGTAAGACATCTTTCAATCTCCCTAAACTAAAAAAAAAAAAAAACACACCAAAAAAACCCACCAAACTGAAAGGCCAGGCTCTTGAGCACACTGGGAAAAAGGTTTTCTTTTTAAGCAAACATAATAACATGCTCTATAATGCATAACTGCAATATCATAACTTCAATCTGGCAGTTCTAATTCTTCCAAGTTTTCCTAGAGGAATAAAGAAGAAGGTGTCAACCTCAGGCTTATCTGCAAATTTCTTCTTTGTCACTCTCTTCAAACTCTCTTCAATTCCTTTAGTAGACTTTTTAAGGATTTCATCTGACTGGTCAACTAACACCACAGTGTGACCACTGGCTGCTGCAACCTGAAAGTTAAAAACAAATAAAAATTCAACATCAATGTCACAAAAAAACCAACCATATTGATTTGTGTTGACAGACAATACACCAGGCATTTAAGCAAAAGAGAGCTAAAAAGACATTAAATAGAAAAATTATAAAAGCCTGTATACAGTTGGGGTGATGATAAAGGAAAATTTCTTTTTCCCTCACACTGTCTGCAGTGTGTCTGAAGGCATCTAGATTCTGTGGCTGTGGCCACAGAATAAACAGCCTTGTCCTTGAAAGGGACAAGGGTTTTAGCTGAGAGCTTTGGATCTTGTAAGGAAAAAGGGCTGTGGAGACCAAAACTGAACGCTGGAAGGGTGAGCAGGTGGCACAAGGGATGGCCAGCCCTGTGTCCCCAAAACACAGCTCTGCTGTCCAGCCATGAACATGTCCCTGCAACAACAGGAGGGTGACAGTGGAGCTGGGAGCAGCAGTGAACATTTGCCACTCCAGGATTCCACACAGACAGGCATGGCTGCAAAGTCTCCTTACTATGCATTTGGTGCAAACACTGGCTCAGCTACACACAGCACGACTGGATTGCCTTTTTGGTTGGTATTTGGGTGGTATTTAAATTGATTTTGAACATATAGCATCATTGTCTCACACTGCATCAGTATATTAAAGATCAGCTGCTCATTATCTGTTACTTCACTATTTATGTTCCTCTTGCTAGTTAGCAACAGCCTATCTTCACTTGCAGAATGCTTGAACTAACAGAGTTGTGACTTAGTAACTCTGTAAAATAGATATTAAAACACGGTTCCACTGATGGTTTTAAAGTCACTCAACTTCAGAGCTTCCCTTCTGCAATCTTTTACCTTGCATTTAATCTTACATCTGATGACTAAAGACTCATGCTCAACACTTACTTCAAAGCTAGTTGAAATGGAAGCTACAGATATCTCATGAAGCATGGTGATACTCTCATTCAATTTGCCTCACTAACCCAGTAAATAAAGAAATGCCAGACTGTCTCTGGGCAGCAGCAGTAGTGCTTTAACAAGGGGTCAGTCTGCAGACAGACATTTCTTTATCCAATTTGTTTTTTTTATTTTCACTGTGGACATTCCATAAAAACCACTTAAACCAAGCTAGTACTTCTGCTAACACTTCATCTGTTGCTGATCATCTGTAACAGTGAAGCAAGACTCTCTAATCTTCAGATGAAAAATCATTACCAAACACATTTTTAAGGGGTGCTTCACTGAGGATCCATTTATGACACCATCACTGATCAGCTGGTGAAAAATCCTAGAAAAATTAACATCACCCATTTCCCACCACATTTACATGGACAGGAAAGAAGAAAATGAGACAAGATCATACCCTTTCTTTGCAACTCAAACACACACTTGCCTAAATTCCACTATCCAGTGCTAAATAAGAAACACAAGTGCTGGGGAGTCAGTTAATGCTTTTCTCATACAGAAGTGCTTTTCACAGGGCAGAATCAAAAATTATGGCTTTATATTTTAGCAGAGATTTGCTTCACCAGACAGTATGAAAAACCAATAGAAGAGGAGACACAATTTTTTAAGAGCCCAAAAAGGGATGAAAAGCAGCTTTATTAATAGGGTACAGGGGAGACACCACTCAGTGTTATAATGACCTCTGCTTTGAGATAATTTTGGATTGATAAATTGGGGGGAGATGGTCAGCAAAACAATCCTGGGTCCTTAACAGTAGTAGAGGCCTGCAACCCCTGTTACTGTCAAATACCAGACATGTTTCTCTTGACAAGCCGCTCTCTGAAAATGCACAGTCAAGGAGAACACTTACCTAGAAAATTATATGCTTTGCTTAGTGTGGATCTTCCTAAAACACAAGAACAACTTTTTTCTAAGTTGTTCTTTGATGGCTCTTCAGTGGAAACCTCAAGCTCTAGGATCACGATACGGTGGAGTGCTTTTATCAGAAAAGTGAATGAACAACTATTTTCTTAGCCAAATAAAAAAATAAAAGCCTCTCTTTTCCTTCTGCTAGAGATTTGCCAGGAATGTAAGAAATCTTTAGTTCTGAGAAGCAAACCTATAAATTCATTGAAATGGAGAAGTGAGCTCCATTCATGAGCTCCAGCTCCAGTCTCACTGTCAGTTTCTGCTTGGACGTTTGGCTACTCCCCCTATGCTTTGTGAAGTTTGTGAACTACCCTGGTATCCTGGGCAACAGGTTCTTTCTCAGAATTAACTAAGTGCCGAAATTTTCAATCACTGAAAGGACTCTTCAGTTTCATTTCCCAAAGCTATCAAGTTAAAGGTGAACTTAAAAGTCAAAGGCCTGAGATTAAACTCGGGGAAAGTAAGTCCTTTTTAAATATTACCCACTTCATAATTCTTAGACTGACAGCTAAATGCCCATTTTAGCCGCTGCATTCTACTGATAAAATGTCTAAAATGCCACTTGATCTAACTTGCCTTGGCAAGTTAGAAAAATCTTCCTTCCAACCAACATTTTCCACATATCATTACCCACCGTCCGTTTACAATTAGTCCACGCGTTGTCTTAAGAACCACTTTAAACAATTTAAACTGTCAGCCTTGTTTCTTTTCACCAACCCATCAGTAAGAGAAGTGTGAAAGTTGAGCAAGCAGGGAGCAGCAATACTTTGTACCCCGCCTCGGCGGCAGCCGAGCCCAAACCCGCAGCAGCCTGGCAGCGGAGCCAGCGCAGCCGCTGCTTCCCACACAAACAGCCCGGAAAGGCGAGCGCCAAGGAGTTCCACCACGGACTGGAACACATTCCGAGAAGCGCTAGGTAGGTTGTTTTGTTTTGTTGGGGCTTTTATTAATGCTGGTCCGCCAGCAGACCGCTCGCCCTCCCTTGCGCTCGCCCCTTCCCGCCGGGGACAGCGCGGGGCGCAGCACCGCGGCCGGGCTCAGCTCCGAGCGGAGAGCCGAGCAGGGGCCGCAGGAG